TCAGCAGCACCAGGTGGCTTTGTCTCCACGAGGGCCCCAGAGCAGCAGCAAGCGCTCGGTTCCCTGCAAGCCTCAGCCGGGAGGGGAGAACCCACACATCTCCTGGTTCAGATCTCCGCAGCTGCAGCAAGCGGGACCCTCTCATGCGGGGGGTAAAGACTGTCAGATGAGCAAGGCTGAGTTCACTCTGTACTGTTTTCACAGGCTGCTTCCACGGTTCCAGCACCTTTTGAGTTGATAGGATCTGGGAAGGGAAGAAGAGGGGAAGGTCCAGGCTCGTCAGGGCAAATCCTGGAAAGCACAGTCCATTCCACAGGCCCTTCGCAGCCTCCTTCCCCGTCTCCAGGCTGGAGCAGGGTCCCCCGGGCAGCATCGCTGCTTGGCTTGGGCGCTGAAAGCAGCCATACACCGGGGGAAATGCAGCCATACACGGTGGAGCATCTCCCCCAGGGAAGGGGGAGACCTGGGGTCAGGATCCTGCAGAGGGACTTGGTGGGGTCCCAGGAGCACCCCAAGAGCTGTGGGTACAAGGCAGAACAGCAGCACAGAGCTCTACGTTTTCCCCGCTCATAACTGCTAGAGGAGCAGAGGGAATCAATATGGGACCCAGAGGATGAGGTGCTGGGCAAAGGGGTCAGCTCCAAGGCAGGTCCCCGGTGCATTGGCATGGGGCTGCAGCCCCCAGTGCTGTGCAGAACCAGCTGCCATGCATGCCAGCCTGCTCCTCCTGCAGTGCCAGAGCGGTGTCAGCAGGGTTTCAAGCCCGTGCCTGTCCTCTGCGATGCCAGCAGCATCCTGCCCTAACAAGCGCCAAGGAGCTGGGCCAGCCTATGGTGCCTCCTCACACTGGCACTGCCACCGGAGGTGGACCCAGGCCACCGACCCACCCTCGCTCATGGGAGCGGTGGAACAGGACACCCCGGTAGCCCCAGCCAAGCTCCCTGGTCTGCGGCGGTGGCCCACTTGTCCCCCTTGCAGGACAGCACACATCTGGGCTGTGGGGGAACCCAGGAGCGCTGGCTCCCAGGCCCTGCTCCACCACGCAGCGCTGCCGAGGCACTGGTGTTGGCACCACAGCAGGACCCGTCTCAAAGCTGCCACACTGACCCGGGGAACCGGCCTCGTGTGCAGAGCACACGGGAACCCCGAGCCTGCGCTCACCTCCCTGAACAAGCACTGGCTCCACCGTACCGGCAGCTCAGCATCCTCAGCTGCCCTCTGGGAATGCCGGCCAAGTGGCACGGCCGGCTCCGGCCAACGGGAGACATGATGCCATCCCGTATCTCTCCAGGGGGAAGGGAGGGGGCAAATTGCATCCTCCAGGCTCAGGTGCACAGTGCTGGTAAAAGCTAATTTCGATGCAGAAGGTTCCCTTTACATTCGTCATTACTATTCATGCCACTGTCAGGCTGAACACACCGAGTTAACCCTTTGGAGGGACCACAGTGGGTGTTTCAGGGAGGAGGAATAATGCAGGTTTCCTCCTGGAAGAGTGCTTCCCACGGTGGTTCAGCCCTAGAGACGTTTGAGAGCTGGGGCAGGTTTTCTCCTGCCCAACCACACTCAGCTCTGAGCTAGGGCAGAGGGGCAGCACACCGGGGACGGTCATGATGGGGACATGCCACCAGAGACCCTCCAAGTCTGGAGGGCCATCAACAGGCACATTACACCCACCCCCATCCTTTGCCACAAGCAGCAATCCTCACACACAGCTCTGAGTTACCTGTCCCCCAGGGACAGGTCTGCTCCTGGCGGGTGGCATCACCAGTGCCCATGCCATGGAGGGTCCCACAGCCAGCCCGTCCTAGGGTCAGCCCTCCCCTCCCCAGGCCCTGCACTGCTGCACCAGCTGATGTTCTCTCCTCCCCTATACAGTTCTCCAAGGAGAAATACATCCTCGACTCATCACCGGAGAAGCTTCACAAGGAGCTGGAAGAGGAGCTGAAGCTGAGCAGTACAGACCTGCGCAGCCACGCATGGTACCACGGCCGCATTCCCCGGGAGGTGAGGAGGGGAAGGTGGGTGGCTTCGGGCACCCTTTGCTTGGGCAGAGCACCCCGAGGCCACACAGAACCACCAGCCCATCCTCCTGGGAAGCTGTGGTTTTGCCACGGGAAATGCCCTCCTGCAGCTCAGAGCCAGGGGCGAGGGGAACAAGGCGATGCCCCAGTTAACACCCCAGTGGAGCATCCACCCATGCCCCTTGGTCCATCCAGCATGGCTGTGCCTGAGCCACTGCCCTGTCCCCTGCCAGGTGTCGGAGAGCCTCGTGCAGAGGAACGGCGACTTCCTCATCCGCGACTCACTCACCAGCCTGGGCGACTACGTGCTGACGTGCCGCTGGCGCAATGAGCCCCTCCACTTCAAGATCAACAAGGTGACAGTCAAGTCCAGCGAGGGCCATACCCGCGTCCAGTACCTCTTCGAGCAGGAGAGCTTCGACAATGTACCTGCCCTCGTCCGCTTCTATGTGGGCAACCGCAAGGCCATCTCTGAGCAGAGCGGAGCCATCGTCTACTGCCCCATCAACCGCACCTTCCCCCTGCGCTACCTGGAAGCCAGCTACGGGCTGGCCAACCCGAAGCATGGGGGACCCCACAGCCCTGCAACCCAGAAAGGGGGGCACATCAAGAGGAGGAGCATCACCATGACAGATGGCCTGACAGCAGACAAGATCACCAGGGCTGAGGGGTGCCCAACCAGGTGAGCACGAGGTCTCATCCCAGCTCAGCTGGGCAGAGGACCAGCCCCTGAGAAAGAGGCAGGGCCACACTGGGTCTCTGCTCCCCGGGTGCAGAGCAGGGGTTTGGGCTTGGTTTGGGGAAACTGTCCCCACTCGGGTGCAGAGAGAGACCAAGGTATAGGGGGAGGAACCGGTACCCAGCTAGAACTGAGGTTTTCTCCCAGGCCAGCTGCCAGCCATGCCAGGCTACTGCAGCAGACACCCAGTGAGCAGACATGACTTTAGCATCACATGCCAGAAGCCAGAGAGTGTTTTACAGTCACCCAGTCCAGTATTACCAGCATGTCAAGGCTTGTCAGAGCCAGGGAGCCACACTTTCCTGGGCAGGTGCAAGGGGAGAGCCAGTCCCAGCCACCAAGAGGGCATTGGTTGATTTATTTTTGAAGAGCCTTTTTAGTTTTAGAGCCTTTTCTGTTCAGCTGGAGCATCTGCAAGGAGGTACCAAGCAGAGCTGAAAGCATGATGGGCAGGAGGAGACTGATAGAGCTGTGCTGATGGGGGTCTGCACAGCCCCCAGATCACAGCCTCTGCATGGTTGATCTGCTCACATTAACCTTGGAGGATTCAGGCTTCTCTGGCGATGGAGAAGGGGATTTTCTTTTCAAGGCTTGTTTTTGGCAGCCCAGAGCCCGGCAGGGAAGGCAGAGCCACACATACATCCTCACATGCAGAAGCTGAGGGGGGACCCATCTACTCCTGCCTCTCCAGCAGGACCCAGGCTGTCCCACAACCTGTCATTGAACCAAGCTGCTTTCTCAGCACCCCGACCTTCTCAGCCCAAGGGCAGGCTGAGAATGTGCCAGCAGAAAACAGACAACCAACTGTTATGGCAGGGAAAAGGAAAACACTCAGACTTGCAGGAGAGCATATGTTTCCAAGAAGAAGAGCCCAGATCCATCAGTCTTTCCTCACCACTCACATTTTCCCCAAACCCCTTATCACCACCACTGCTCCCCCATTCGCCTCCCACCACAGAGGCACCGCGCTCAAGACCGAACACGTCACAGCAGCCCAGACCTCCCCCGTGGCAGGGAGGGCAGTGAATTACCTGCCATGCCTCCTTGCAACCCTCCCTGCGCTCATTTTTTTTTCAGCCCGCCCCAGACACAGCACCTTTCACAACACCAGTGTTCGCATCAGGCCACAGCTGCTGCCCCACCAGCTCGAGACCTCCTTGCTTGCTATGCAGCTCCTTGAGCACACACGCTGCAGCTCACCGACCCAGGCACCTTTCTGCCTCCATCAGGTGCCTGCTGGGCTCCGAGGCCAGCTTCCAGGCACTTCCTTCCTCTCCTAAGCTTTGGGTCCCTTGGGTCAGAGCAAGGGCTTCCCCAACCATCCTGACAGAGCTCTCAGGCGGAAATAGAGTAACGTACCCAGCATCAGGTACCACCTTGCAGCACAACCCTAGAAAAC